ATCGTCGTCGAGGGAGCAGTCGAGGGTGAAGGCGGAACTCGGGCGGGCCGGGGTCATCGACACGGCGACGCGTCGGCCGACGGTGCTGGGGACACGAAGAAGGGGAGTAGAACGGGAGGAGCACGGTACCGAGAGCACGGTGCAGCTTCGGCCGATGGTCGAAACAACGTCGACCCAACGGTTCACGATCAAGTTACCGATGCTGCAGCCACCGTCTCCCCTGTTGGAGATGGCATCACTGCGTTTGCCAGACTCCGAGGAGTTCGACGTGGACACCCGCCGCAGGAGTAACAATGGCAACGTACCACCTACCACCGTCTCGGCCGTTCCACCGGCCACTGGCACCCTGCTGCAGATGAGGAACGACCTTGGCGATTATCTGAACAACCTGATAGCGGAGGCGATCACGACCAATCCGAGGACGCCGATGGAGGAGCACGGTGGATTGTTGAACGCCAGTAAAACGGTGAACCTCTCCACTGCCGAACAGATTCCCGATCGATTGTACAGGCACAGCATGGCGATGTCGGCGGTTTACTGTGTCGCATACGTTCTCGTATTCGTCGTCGGCCTGATCGGCAACAGTTTCGTCATAGCCGTGGTGTATCGGTCCCCGCGGATGAGGACCGTCACGAACTTCTTCATCGTCAATCTCGCGGTCGCCGACGTCCTCGTCATCGTCTTCTGCCTGCCTGCCACGCTGATGAGTAACATCTTTGTCCGTGAGTACCAGAAGCGATTCACGTTTGTTTCAACGTTCGATTTCTCGAGAGGTTCTCGATGCACTCGAACTGGCCGTCCGTTTAAACCATAGTAGATCCGGGCGCGGTGACGTTTCGCCGAAAGAATTCGCAGTAACGGAGGCGGTATGTTTTCGCTTGTGGAAAATTGAACGAATTCGCTCCCGGAACGCGCGTTGCCTCCCTCGATATATATTGGACTCATCGAGTCCAAGGCCGTCCAAAGTCTATTCTATACATAGGATTATTAATATCGGCGGAATCCGAAGTATACAGTAGAATCTCAGTTATTAGAACACCGATTAAAGGAACGATCGATTATCGGAACGTCAATTGACAGAGAATTCCGATGGCCACTCGGGTGGGAAAGATTCGAGGGGTGGGGAGGGGGGG